AAGCAGGGCAAAGGCTAATAGAGTTTTGTCAAGAGAACAAGCTGGTCATCACAAACACTCTTTTCCAACAACACAAGAGGTGACTCTACACATGGAAATCACTAGATGGGCAATAACAAAATCAGATTGATTATATTCTCTGCAGCCAAAGATGGAGAAGCTCTATACAGTCAGCAAAAACAAGACCTGGAGCTGATTGTGGCTCTGATCATCAGCTTCTTATACGAACAAAACCCAAGTTTAAACTGAAGAAACTAGGAAACACCACTGGGCTAGTCAGGTATAATCTAAACAAAATCCCTTATGAATATAGAGTGGAAGTGAAGAACAGTTTTAAGGAACTAGATTTGGTGGACAGAGTGCCTGAAGAACTTTGATTAGAGACTCGTAACATTGTACAGGAGGCAGCAACAAAAACCATCCCAAAGAAAAGGAAATGCAAGAAAGCAAAGTGGCTGTCCAATGAGGCCTTACAAATAGCAGAGAAGAGAAGGGAAACAAAATGCAAGGGAGAGAGAGAAAGTTACAGAAAATGGAATGCAGACTTCCAAAGAATAGCAAGGAGAGATAAGAGGGCCTTCTTAAATGAACAATACAAAGATATAGAGGAAAAGAATAGAAAGTGAAAAACCAGAAATCTGTTCAAGAAAATTCGAGCTATTAAAGGAACATTTTGTGGAAAGATGAACATGATAAAGGACAAAAATGGTAGGGACCTCACAGAAGCAGAATACATCAATAAGAGGTGGCAAGAATACACAGAGGAATTATGCCAGAAAGATCTGGATGTCCTGGACAACCCAGATTGTGTGGTTGCTAACCTTGAGCCAGACATCCTGAAGAGTAAAGTCAAGTGGGCCTTAGAAAGCATGGCTAACAACAAGTGGAGGCGAGGGCATTCCAATGGAACTATTTAAAATCTTAAAAGATGACACTGTTAAGGTGCTACAGTCAATATGCCAGCGAGTTTGGAAAACTCAGCCATGGCCAGAGGACTGGAAAAGATCAGTCTACATCCCAGTCCCAAAGAAGGGCAGTGCCAAAGAATGCTCCAACTACCATACAATTGCACTCATTTCACACACTAGCAAGGTTATGCTCAAAATCCTCCAAGGTAGGCTTCAGCACTATGTGGACCGAGAACTCCCAGAAGTACAAGCTGGATTTCGAAGGGGCAGAGGAACTAGAGATCAAATTGCTAACATGCACTGGATTATGGAGAAAGCCAGAGAGTTCCAGAAAAACATCTACTTCTGCTTCACTGACTATGCAAAAGCCTTTGTGTGGACCACAGCAAACTATGGCAAGTTGTTAAAGAAATGGGAGTGCCTGACCACCTTATCTATCTCCTGAGAAATCTATATGTGGGGCAGGAAGCAACAGTTAGAACTGGATATGGAACAACTGATTGGTTCAAAATTGGGAAAGGAGTATGACAAGGCTGTATATTGTTCTCTGACTTATTTAATTTATATGCAGAATAAATACATCATGCGAAAGGCTGGAATGGAGGAATCCCAAACCGGAATTAAGATTGCCGGAAAAAATATGAACAACTTCCGATATGCAGATGATACCACTCTAATGGCAGAAAGTGAGGAGGAATTAAAGAACCTCATAATGAAGGTGAAAGAGGAGAGTCCAAAAAACGGTCTGAAGCTCAACATAAAAAAAACTAAGAGCATGGCCACTGGTCCCATCACCTCCTGGCAAATATAAGGAGAAGATATGGAGGCAGTGGCAAATTTTACTTTCTTGGGCTCCATGATCACTGCAGATGGAGACAGCAGCCACGAAATTAAAAGACACCTGCTTCTTGGGAGGAAAGCGATGACAAACCTAGACAGCATAGTAAAAAGCAGGAACATCTCCTTGCCAACAAAAGTCCGAATAGTCAAAACTATGGTTTTTCCTGTAGTGATGTACAGAAGTGAGAGGTGGACCATAAAGAAAGCTGATTGCTGAACAATTGATGCTTTTGAATTGTGGTGCTGGAGGAGGCTCTTAAGAGTCCCCTGGACTGCAAAGAGAACAAACCTATCCATTTTGAAGGAAATCAACCCTGAGTGCTCATTGGAAGGACAGATCCTGAAGCTGAGGCTCAAAAAATTTGGCCATCTCATGAGAAGAGAAGACTTCCTGTAAAAGACCCTGATATTAGGAAAGTGTGAAGGCAAGAGAAGGGGATGATAGAGGACAAGATGGTTGGACAGTATGATAGAAGCTACCAGCATGAATTTGACCCAACTCCAGGAGGCTGTGGAAAACAGGAGGGCCTGGCGTGCTCTCGTCCATGGGGTCACGAAGAGTTAGACACGACTAAACGACTAAACAACAACACAGAACCAAGAAGAAGAAGAAATCCAGTGGCTACCAAGGTAGCACACATCCTGCATTGCTTCTTTCCTTCTTTTATTTGTATCAGAACTTTGTACTGTTTAACGTTGTGGATGTACCATAGTTTTCCGTGTATAAGACGCCACCATGTATAAAACGCCCCCCCCACTTTTCTAAATCAAAATTTCTTTATTTGCAAGAAAGAGGAGGGGGGCAAGCTCCTGCTTTCCTCCTACATATTCATTGCAAAAAGCAGCTGCGCCTCTCCAGGTTTTGCAAAGGATATGAAGGGGGGAAGCGATTTCTGTTTTCCCCCTACATTTTTGTTGCAAAAAGCTGCTTTCTGCTTCCAGGTTTTGCAAAGAAAATGCAAGGGGAAAGCAATTTGCAATGAAAATATAGGGGGAAGTAGGAATCGCTTCCCCCCTGCATTTTCTTTGCAAAACCTGGAGAGGGGGAGCTGCATTTTGCAGTGAAAATATAAGGAGAAAGCGGAAATCGCTTTTCCCCTGCATTTTCTTTGCAAAACCTGGAGAGGGCGAGCTGCATTTTGCAATGAAAATGTAAGGAGAAAGCGGAAATCACTTCCCCCATGCATTTTCTTTGCAAAACCTGGAGGGGAACTTCCGAGTATAAAACGACCCTCAATTTTTCCTTCAATTATTTTAGGAAAAAGTGTCATTTTATATACGGAAAAATATGGTACCTGAAATATAGGAAAAATTAAAAACTGTTGGCTAATCCTTCACTTCCAGAAGTGTTGCTCTGTAAACATCCTGGTGACCCAACGGCCCTTTTTAGTCCCACAATTGAGAATAATTTCCATTAACATAGAGAACATCTCTTCCTTCACTGCTTTGCCTACAATACACTTGAGCTGCATAGCAGTTTCCCAGGCCTTATCATCATACTACGGCAGGTGGAAAGCTCCTCATAAAGCAAAAGGCAAGATTTTCCCCCTTTTTGTGTGGCTTCATTGACAACATGGTTTGTGAGATGTGTTGCAGCCATGCTGTGAATAGGCTGAAGTGCTCACACCTACGAATTCTCTCACCAATTCTTTCCCTTTGCTTTTCAGGTGCTGACAGTGCACGAGCACTGTCCCCCCCCACAAGCAAAAATGATTTTCCCAAGGAAAAAGAAAAGAAAACAGGAAGAAAGAAAGCCAATCTCTGTGAACAGCCATTTACCTTTCAGATAGGTAGCAGGGGCCGTTTGCCAATACTGTATTTAGCCCTGACCAGGTACAATCATTTTTCAAATTCATTTTCCTTCTTCTTCCCCACTTTTGGAGGTCTGCACAACCCCTAGGGGATCACCGAGGAGACAACTGGCTCTTGGTCGAATCCAAGTTAGAAATCTACCTCACGCATGAAAATCAAACATTTTCATGCTACTTGCCCTGAGATTTGTCTCCCTGCATGGAGATCTAGAGAAGTGCAGTAATTCCCTGAAACGCCAGCTGGCAGCCCCAAAGGTGGCAAACCTTACTGATCATGTACAGTGTTTAACTAGAACTGGGCTCACAGGGTCAAAAGGTGCTTTCTGATACTAGAACTGGGCTCACAGGGTCAAAAATAGAGGGGCTCACAGGGTCAAAAGGTGCTTTCTGAGTAGCAGGGGACCATGACATCAGCCACAGCCCTCAGCTTTCCCTACAGGCTTTGCTGCTGTCTTCATCTTCATCATCTACACTGGTTCTTAACCTTGGGTTACTCAGGAGTTTTGGACTGCAACTCCCAGAAGCCTTCACCACCAACTGTGCTGGCTGGTGTTTCTGGGAGTTGCAGTTCAAAAACATCTGAGTAACAAAGGTTAAGAACCACTGATTCTACCATACCACTGATTTTATAGCTTGCTTCCTCAAATTCAGGATTAGAAGTAGGAATAGAGGAAGTTACTGATTTTATAGCTTGCTTCCTCAAATTCAGGATTAGAAGCAGGAATAGAGGAAGTTTTTTTGTGCTGGAACAGAAATGACATGCTCTGAAATGGCTCTGCTTCTGCCCCAGTGCAGCATATAGCTGCCACATTTTCTTTTAATGCAAACGGGTAGGAGATAACAACGAATACAAGACGGCAGCAAATGAAACATCTACATTCGTCCCTTAAGTGACTGTTCTTCAATGAGTGCCCTCCACATGCATTGAACTACAACTTCCAATGGCCATAATGGCAGGGGATTATGGATGCTGTAGTCAAACACCCTCTGCAGGTCAACGGGTTGCGGAGGCAGTCCAACATAACAAGGGAGGGTATATCTGCATTCTGATGGAGACACATTCTGATTGAGCTTTCTAGGGAATATCAAGCTGAAGAGGACAGGCTTGCTGTCCATATTGCCATTAGTCTTTGTAGTCCTTTTCTCTCTCTCTTAAAGTAATGAGAACGAAGGCTTATCAAGTCCCTTACCTGTTTTTCTGACAGCGCATGATGGCTTCTTGTTACCAGCATGAGTTCTGTTCACTTGTTGCTGAAAAACTACAGTGAAAAGCAAATTAGGAAATCTGTCACAACAACAGCCTGACCAGAAATGCAATTATCCTTCCAAATTCCATTGTAAACATTTCTAAACCCCTTGAAAAAGGCAGATTTCTCATTTGGAGAACTGCTGGTACTTTGGAATGCCAAAACTGTCTGTTCTGCCTGAAGTCTAAAATCATGCTCAAAGACACTCTTTTCCCTTCACTTTCTCAAGTGTTGATTGGCTTTCAGACTCAATGAGTAGTATGACTGAGAAGCTAGGATGGGTGGATCAGCTGAACCTATTTGATCTGGGATGGTGTTCCTTGACACATGACTGTCTTTCTTGAAAAATTGTGTGCTGATAGTGCAGCAAGTGAGACATTACTAACTGCTTATAGGCAGTGCGCTCTCGTGTCCACCGCTAGTGTAAGACTTTTGCTACAGTGGATCAATCCTAGCATGATATGCTTAGCACATTTTTAGAAGAGCTGCTCCCCCAAGTGGTGAAAGGTATCGGCATAGCTCATGATTTTCTTCTCTTTAGTGTGCCTTGTTTCGTGATTGTTTATTGGAAGGTAAACATGGGCTTAATTTGCAAATCTGATTGTGGAAGCATTCTGGCAGAAGAAATCCCACTGTGGGTGGGAAATGGGTTAATTGTAAGGAATACACATTTTCCTTAATGTCTTGTTTGACCCAATGGTGAAACCTTTTCTCTGTGTATAAAATTCTGCCTGTGGAAGGCAATTCTATACTGCCCAATGGATGTTAGGTTATGGCAAGGTCACAGTGCTAGTCAGAAAAGATGGGAGAGTTCACATTGTGGCCTCTACTAAAGCCCCAGAAAATGAAATTGATTGAGTCCAGGACAATATCCCTGATTAGGAACTACTTTAATTGACAAGCCGGGGGATTTCTGCTGACTTTTTGCAATGCTGAAGCAATCACAAAAATGGAATTACTTCTCCAGCTGTTCAAAGTCAAATCGCTAGGGCCACTTTACATTCAGTGTGTTGCTGAAAATGAATTCAGCTGGCAACACACTCTGGATGAGGTAAGAGAAAATAAATTATTCACTTTTTTGAGTGAATCAGGGAGGCACATACTAAATAGTGATACAGCAGGTTCATGGACACCTCTGTATTTTAGGAAATAATAATGAAGAAATATATACAGCAGTTAACAAGCTAGGAAAATCACAAGGTCAAAGTGCAACAATGCACCACAGTATGTGAGCCCAACTAGTGGCATTAATTCTATCCCGAGAAAGCACTGTGCAATGCATGTACATGCCTGATTGAAAAAAAATAAGTTTAATTGCCCATAATAAGTTCATGTACATTGGCCTCAATCCTTCAAATATGTCGAGTTTGCCCCGTAAATTTCTTACACCACACTGATGCTATATTTTGCTTGATTTTAGTTACTAAACATTTCAGAAACTCCCTTCTAAGGATATCTAGACCACAGAATCACTGTTTTCTAAGTAGGTCAGACATGGTAAAGTGGGACATATTTTTCCTTTCTAGCTGTTCTTTCAATAACTTTGATACCTCTCCTGAAAAAACTCTTTCCATACAGATTGGTTAGGCATCCTTCAGTCTCGAGAGACTATGGTAATGTGCTCTGTATGGAGGATTTGGAGAGCGTCCTCTCCAGAGCACAAAGCCTGGGGAAAATAATATGGAGGATAGGCTGTTGCCCAGGCAGCAAATCCCCCCTCTCCACATAGCTGAAGTAGTTCAATGGAAAGGCAAGAGCCAATACAACTGGTTCCAGCGACGTCGCAGGAGTTGACAGAACAACACGAACTGCCTCTATGACTCCGGCTCCGAATTTTGCCTCGAGGTTAACTCCTGAAGCCTTTTCCATCAGTGGATAGAGCCACAAGGCAGTGGAGGTTTGAAATCATAGTTTTCCTTTTCCTATATGGACTGCCTTCCAAGGCTGACGAGCCCCACCTACCCGGCCTGCTCTCTAACAGTGCGGATGTACGATCTGACCCTTAAAGCTTTCCTACCTAGAGATGTATGCAATGTTAATTGGCTTTCCTGTTTACCAGATTAGGGTCAAAAGAGAATTTCATGCGCCATTAGGCACGCACTTCTGCTCCCCCTCATTTAAAGCTGAAACCCCGCCCTCTCAGACTATGCAATCAGGGAGAACAAAGGTCAGCCTAGGAAAAAAATACCTTACCAAAATATCTACCCAAACATACCTCAGCTCCTGCCTCAGCTTCTTCTTCAAGAAAAGGCCATTTGTCTAAAAATTGTTCATGACATTATATCTTAAGCAGATCTCTGTTTTTGGTTTCCCTTCTGCTCCTGTATAAGAAGTGCGATACCTATCTTTTCTGCTTTCTTCTTGCTTGCTCTTTCTTCTCTTTTCCTTCTGCAAATATTTACCCAACTAAACTATACGGTAAATCACCTTCCTGTACCTATTGGTCCTCTCAAGGAAAAAGCCTTTGCTTTTGCTGGTCTTAAGCTGGGCAGTGACTGGGCTTTAGCTCAATCTTCCAGTAGCCAACTCCACTTATGACTTGGACTTGGATGGATAAAATACAGAATGGAAATTTATTTTACGTAGGGACACTTTAAAGACCATAGTCAGAATCCTACAGAGAAAAACTGGGCATATGCAATAATGCAACATTTTCTCCCTCTCTCTCCGGCAGGTCTCTCATGCAAGGGCCTGCGTGAGACTGACTTCACAACTAGTGTGGGACCCAGCATGTGAAGACAAGGAGCTGGGGAGAGGACACTTGTGTGATTATCAGTAAGTTCCACATAACCGCAAGAGAAATCTAATTCATATGTTCAGTACTTTATTGTAACATACAGCAAGGAATATCAACTATGGGTCTACAAGTATGGGAACCTGCAAAAATACATATCGAAGTAAAAAGAGAGGAAACATAACATATCATCCATACGGTTTATTAGCAAGGTTCTGCCCCCTCTTCGCAGAGTTAACAAATCAGACACAGCAACATCTGAAAATGTTGAAGTGCAGCCTCCCCTGCCTTGACTCATATACATTTTCCTATCCAAGGAATATATCCAACAAGTTACATGTTGCACTGGCATGTCTGTTCATAGGACAGGATCTTAGAATTATAAACCTCTACCCAGAACACGTGTGTTATGTCTAAGACAAAGCCTACATATTCATACACTGAAATCCTGTTGTTCAGAGTAATAAGTAGTAACTAGAGTAGGCTTAGTGAATCAGTGAGGTTGTGGTGAGTCAACTCCTTTGTAAATTCTGTTGATTCAAATGGGTCTACTCTATTTGAATCTTATTTTAGCATAATCAATAATAACTAGGTTAGGCCTATTTAATTCAATGGGACTTAAGGACTAGTTGACTCACCCAGTCCTTACCGATTCAGTGGGCTTACTCTAGTGCAACTTACTATACTAACGCAAGTTTCTCAAAGTCACCTTTCTGGTTGTGAGACTATGCCTTCTTATTTGGTAGCCTTTTTTTAAACAACAAAAGTAGTTCAGTAGTTTAGCAATATACTTGGAACAATATCCTAGGGATATAAAAATACTTTTAAAAAAATTCTCAGTGTATTTACTTGCAATTGCAAATACGCAAGATTCTTGACACCACTGTGAAAGTGAGATATCTGGTCTTGTTCTCTCCCTCTCCCACTATTTTTCTGTTGAAGACAGATTGCACAGAAACAGTTCCTCACGGCATAATTGTTGTGCAATACTGGGACAGTGCACAGAATTACAGAGGGATTTCCTGCAAGAAAAGCAATTACAATGGACCTTTTAAAGACCCTATTTTTGAGCTTGTACAAGGCAGAAGAGTATCCTTTTTCCATGAAGGAAATAGTAGAACAACAGCATGTCTCGTCCACCTACTATTGAATGCCATTGAGTGATGATTCAGGGAAGCTTTGGCAAGATTTGGGAGAAATAGGAAGGACTTTGCTTGACCAGAAACCATTTGAGTAGAGTTTCTCAAGACACAGTTTTCTAACCTGTGCAAGACAGAAGTGTAGGACAGCATAGGACAGTGAGCTTTTTTCTGCACAGAAAACTGTAGAGCACTGTGTGTGACAGAATGAAATTTTTTGTGGGAGAGTGGGGTAGCATGGACTTTGGTAGGATTTATATTGGTGAAGAAAGACTCTATTCAGCCAGTGGAGTTTTATTTACAACCTCACATGTTGTCTGTAGTTTGGATAACTCAGAGGTACTTTTCTGGGCTGGCATGATTGTCAATCTATCCAGCACTAACCAATCCTTCTTTTCAACTTTTGAATTCAAAGACAACCCCTGCCTCTCTGCTGAGTGTTCTATCCCTCTGTCTTGTTAGTTGGTGGCAGTTGTTTGTTGATGTTGATCTAGTTGGTTGGTTGCTAGTAAGTGTGTAGTAAAGAAAGCAGTATACAGAAGTCTGTAATTTCAAGCAACTACAAGTAAAGAAGCATTTTTAATTCTTTCTCCTACAAACGTCTCAGAGTGAGTTTTGGAAATTTCAAGAGGATTTTGGGGAACTGGAGAAAGGGGCAGACTTTTGGGGGTACTTGTATCTATTCTGTTCTGTGGATCTCTCTACTTCTATTGTCTAGCAAAAAGAGAATTTTACCAGAAATTCAAAACTCTGCAACATATGCTAGAATTCTGTAGCCACAAATTCTAAATATTGCACCACACTACAAATCCTGTGATTCCAAAGCACAATTTAGTTTTTCTGTCTCAGTGAGACACTGATTATCATCTAGTGATTGTGTGCAGAAATCATTAATAAGTGCCTTACTAATGCCTTCCTGAAAATGAACATTTATGAGATGATTCTGAATAATACAGTAAATCAAAGCTGTAAAGTTAATTGAACTTGCATTGAAAAGCATTAACTTTGGGTGAATTTAGTTAATTCTTTCTTCTCTTCTCTTAATGTAGGTTGCTGAAGCAGCAAGAGATTGATTTGCTGCATTGGAAGCTCCACCTGTTATGACAAAAGCCTTCAAATCTCATTGATGACATTATATG